GTGGCTGTCCTCTCGGGCGAGTTTCCTCGTTTAGCCGCCACTCATCAACCCTTCGAGAAACGTTTCCCAAACTCCAATAAGAAAGACGCCTCTGAGATAATCCACGTGTCCCCTTGACCCACGTGTCCCTAATTTCAATGTTTCGGTGTAATTCCGAGTAACATCACAAGGTTCAAAAACAGCCCACGGGCCATGAAACAAAAGCCCCTCTGGAATGGGATGGACGCTGGGCCCACTGAATAATGTTCATTCGTGATCAAGACAGGGGCTCGAACCAGTCACCCTTGATTGTAAAGGTCACCTTGCCACCACCCATGGTGGTTGGCGAATGGCTTAGTTGAATCTGCTCGTTTCGTAAGTATGTACGTTGAACTTATTTCGCACCGTACGTAGCCAGCCGTGCTAATCGGAGGTGTGCTGTTTGCCGATTAAAATAAAAAGTTATTCACTTTTGAACACTCTTACCCTTCTGAGAAAATTCCCAAAATTCGATAACAAACTCAACATTCCACAATCGCTTTTTCTTTTTGAACTGTCTGGCAAACAAACTAACTTGTACTGTGTAATGAACAGGAAGGGGGGGGGGAAAAAACACATGGGTAGAGAGCAAGACCGGACTTCTGTTAAGAGCCAATTTGCTGCAAACAGCTGGAGACCAGGAAACCAGGAGAAATTAAATTAATTCGGCCAATTAGTCATCTCATTAGTCAACCAGCCACCCCACCATGTTGCCTGGAGAGCAAGCGAGATGTTTTAATGAGAGCGCATACCTGCTACACCCTTAACCGCCCTGAAGCATCACATTGTTGCGCCTTCCAAATGCTCGCTTGCTCTTTTGGCTTGCTTCTGCATTCTGGACGCAGCCGTGGTTGTAAACAGCACAACAAGAAAACAATAAAATAAAAAAATAAAAATTTCTCACGACGTTTCGACTGCAACACAAGCAATCATCATCAGGTGTGGTTTTCACACATCATCAGGTGTGGTTTTCACACCTGATGATGATTGCTTGTGTTGCAGTCGAAGCGTCGTGAGAATTTTATTTTTTATTGTTTATTATTTTATTGTTTCCCTTCTATGTGACTTTACCGAAAGAATCAAGAATATGAATCCCTGCAGTCACTAAAGCTTTAAATCAAAATTTAAGCACAACAGGACTCGCAACCCACAGGCCGCCGGTTAAATTCGATCTCCCGGCACGGCAGTCGAGACTATGTTGCAGGTTTATTCAATCTCCTGTGCCGCATGTCGAACCAGAGTAGTAAATGGGTTCACCACGGTTTGTCGACCGACGTTGGGTACTTCTACATCTTCCAAGAATTTACATTTAAAGCTTTCGTGACTGCAGGGATTCATATTCTTGGTTCTTTCGGTAAAGTCACGTAGAAGGGAAATAATAAAGTAATAAATAATAAAACTATAAAATTCTCAATATTATATTTTATTATGTTTTATTTTTATTATTTCCCTTCTACGTGACTTTACCGAAAGAACCAAGAATATCTTCCAAGAAGTCTGATAGGCATGGAAGAGTAGGCCAAAATGCACTCTACGAGAGGGGCTCTCCATAGGCTCTGTCTAATAGAGGCTCTTCCTCCAGCAGTGGCATGAGAAAGAAATGGCAGGGTTGTACTTTTACCTCTGCAATCTAGCGCAGTGCATCATGAATCAGCGTCGACTGTCAAATCTGTCACGACGGCTAAAGATGGCATTTCATCGGGAATGCCAGCAAATCAAATTGTGGCTTCGTAGTTGTGCAATATTTACAACCGGTTAAGCTAATTAAGGTACCTACCACCCTCTGACTAAAAAAGATCCGTGCGACTTAAAGAATAAATGTTTATCGAGCCCAGTAGCAGCTTGGAGCCATCCGAGTTGAATGATACGGCGACACACGGTGAGATGCGGAGAGACCACTCCAAGGAGATATCGGCGAAGTAAGCAGTCATGTCCCATCAAAAAAAGGCCAAGGTAGGAAGATGAAGAAGGCGTAGAATTCACATGCCATATTTACAGATGTTGAACAGTAAACGTACCACGTTGGAGGGGTGTAACATCAATGCAACGGATTCATCGATTGAAACCAATCCTTTAAGCTCAAGATACCTGCGTTGAATCGTGCTCGTGAGAATGCATTATTTTCGATTTGTTTACGTTGTGTGTAATGGATCCACGTGAAGGCTGCAGCCACAAAAGGAACCACAATGCACCGATGTGAAGGGGGGGAAAAAAACTATTTTTAAATAGAATCATAACCATGAATTGTGGTGATTCGTCTAATCACGGGTGAATGGTCACAGCCCTACTATGCAAACAGTGAAAGGTGCAGCCCTACAATCGCTTGCTTATGCCTCTGCGGAAGGGCCTCCACTGAAAGGGGGTTTTTGAGGGTAATTGGTCTCCTCTTCCACGCTGGCCAGACGTGTTGGAACGTAGTTTGTACATTCACCGTTTACCACCGCACACAACCTGCCGCCCGACTAACCGTGGTGCGACCGTTCGTAATGCTGGGTGCACAGGGGCGGGGGAAGATTCCAGAAACTTGCACCACTTTTTCAAACTGCCGTGCCTGGAGATGGAATCGAACTGCCGTCCACTGGATGGCAAGTCCACGGTGCCAACCATTATCACCCCGGCAGCTCGAGGAAATCGAACTTGTCATCGGTCGTTTGCTGAGTAGGGCATGGACTTCCCCTGTCAGTGCTTTTCTCTGACAATGGATATTTTTTTCTTCTTCTTCCATAGAAATTAATTTGACCCAGAAAGAAAAGAATGACAATGCAGCATTAAAAAAACTAATTCGGAAGCGGAAGGGCAAGTTATGAAACGTTTATATTATTTTGTCCGTTAAACATTTTTTACTTGGTTTAATAAAAAACATTTATTGAGTGTTTATTTATAACTTCATTAGTGTATTGCTTTTACAATGAATCCCGAAAAGAGGTGACAGCTAAATTGTATACAATTCAAACCAAAATGAAATATCACTTGATGTTTACATGCCAAACACATTGTCAAATCACTTATTGTATTATTGCCTCCCAACTCCATGCGGATAATGGGGGTTAATTTTTACCTGCGTCACCATTCTCTCACCTCTATTCAGGATTCAGGTATGCACACTCACCAATTGACTGAAAACATCTCAATACACAGGGGACTGCAGAGCTTGGGCAATTGTTTGTGCCGGCTCGTTGCTTTGGCTGCTTCCTCACAGCGTTTCCGTGATTTCTCAGCATGAACGATAATGCTTTATACAACTAAACATTATCGTTATTATTATACTGGTCAGTGTGAGTTGATGATGTCAGAGAGCATAGACGTAGGAGCTCAGACATACACTTCAACATTGGATTTTGCTGCACTGCCCTCTACTGCCCGCTATATCACTGCAATGTAAATTATTTTTCATCATTATCGGCTCAGTGATACAGTGGCGGAGTACGCTGCTCACAATTGGAAGGCGGTCAATTAAAATGCCAGTTGACGGTTAACTCTGGACATCAACCCTCTGGGGTAGATAACTTAAGTACCACTTTATGGGAAATCTGCAGTGGTTGTCTGTATAAGCTGGTCTCTGCACATAGCAATGTCGAATTTCCACCTTTAGTTAAGGGCCACGAATGGCCCTGAATGCCCATTTGAACAAAAATAAATGTTAACTCTTTTTTAAACTATACAATCAAACTGGAATAGAGTTGATTTAGCCATTGACCAAATCGCCCTGAACGCACTCAATCTCATCAGATCGTGAAAGCTAAGCAGGGTTTTAAGTCTGATTAGTGCTTATATACAGCAGACTGTCTGGGGATTCAGGTGTTTTTTATGCTTGGGCTGTGACATGCCTGCAGAACTGAGAGCAACAAAGAAAAATGAAATAAACACGTGCTGACCGTTACTCCGCTCGTGTGTGTGGTGGGTTGTCTCCGAGTACTCCCATGTCCTCCCACATGAAGCCGTACTTTCATCAACAGAATTGGCCAAACATTCCCAATGTAGTAGCAGGACGCTCTTGATAAAGTATCTTGAGATTGCATATAAATACGTACTTATATATGCTTTAATGGGTAAATAAAGGACATTATTCTGTCAAAAGCCCTCAGGGATTATTCATTGGCTACAATGGCATATAAATTGAGGCTGGGGTAAAATTACAAGTGGTTGTGGTAGAGTACCAGATGATGTGCAGATGAAGGGCATGATTGTGTTTTGTTCATAAAGGGCTGTTTTGTCCCTACATTGGTCGTGTCACTCTGCCGTTGATCTTTCTTCCCTTTAATCGACGATAAATGACTGTCTCTTCTGCTCTGTTGGCCCTGATATGTTTTGTGCGTTTCCACGTATTTGTAAATCGCACTGAGGTTCCATGGCATTTAAAGTGATTAATAGTTCAAAGTCATTATCGTCGATTAAGATTTTCTAATTTTTTCATTTTAAAATGTTTTCTCCAAAGTTATTCTGATCATGCTATGCTAAGACATGTCACGGGACGCAGGATCCAATCGGATCCTTTGCAGAGCAGCGCGACCCTTTGTTTTGAGACTGGCCCAAGGAAGTGGATACCACTGAGCTACCTCTGAGATCCCCATCATGGAACCTTTGGTCCACACAGTCGGGGCACCAATTTCCCACCCGCCCTGCTACAAAGAGTAGTGTTTGTTGCATGACAATCAAAACGATATATCATTAATCTCGCAGTTGGGATTCAACCAAATAAAGAGAACCAAATTGTATGCCTTTTTTTGTGTATGTATGCATGTATGTTTAAAATCTTGTCGCACCGCATGTAGCCAACCGTGCTAATCAGAGCTGTGTGTGTGTACGCACACTCACCGTTGCTGCAGTGAGACTATCAACTCGCTACACCTGAGAACCTGATAAAATCACGGGCGCGGCTGCCTGTAATCAAACCCAACGGTGCACGCTCAGCACTCTGATCTCCTGTAGCCACCCAGCCACCTCTCAGTCACAACACAACACGACCATCGAAGGCAGGTTACCCGCTCGTGCGCTGCCGCCTGTATAGGCTCTTCCCCAGCAGGTCGCCGTCGCTGGCGTATCCCGACACCTCCAGGTCGTCGCACTCGATCACCAGCTCCTCCCCGTCCTCCTCGTCCTCGTCCATCACCTCGTCATCCTCCTCCGAGAACAGCTCACACGCGCCGGGCCGTGCTTCGTGGCCGGCGCGGCCCGCGGGCCTCGGCGGCCCGCGGCCATAGCAGCGCCCTCCTCCGTCCGCGGGCACCGTCAGGCCTGACCGGGGCCGTCGGCCAGGCCCGGCGGCACCGCCGCCCGAACCGCCGCTACCGGCGGTGGCTAAGGAGGAGGTGGAGGATGCGGGGAAGCGACCGGTGCCCAGGGACGGGGCCTCACCGGCCTGCATGCGAGGGCTGCCCTGGTGCTCGGAGGCGGTGTCCACCCACGGGGGCCGTCCCGTCGGGCCGAAGCCGGCCTTCAGCGAGCTGGGCAGTGCGAGCGGAGAGCGAGTCAGCGGTTAATACGTGAAGCAGAAAAGCGACGGTGATTATTTGTACGTCCGTGTACACGAAGTAACTTTTTTGGGGAAATCCGCCGCTGTATGAGTGCCTCTCTCTCGGCCGGTGTAGGTCGTGGGGGTTCTTTGATCGGACTGCACGACGCTGGCCATCGCTGGTTCGTGAAGGCGCCGAGCAGTGACGCTGGAGCGGAGTGCAGTACAACAATGGGTTGTGCCGCACGGCCCTCTTCTGACAACCCATCTCTGCAACAGCCCACAGCACCTGTGTCATGCACGGCGATCGCCCATCCAAGCACTGCCGGCCAAAACCAGCTTGGCCTCCGAGATGGGTCAAGATCGGGCGCATTCAAAGTGATTTAGCCATCAACTGATTTGACGAAGAAAACATTATAAAACTTATCGAAAATGATGTTTCATTATTATTAATCTACCATTCCTCGCCCATTGCCACCCCAGTAAATTTGATTTCAGGGTCATGATCGGATTCAAGAATCGTTTTGTTGGTCCCGTTTTTACAGTCTCGTTTGTATTGTTTCTCTTGGATATTGTCGAGTCTCGCTTGCACGGTTTTGTTTCCTCCATTATCCTGAAGGTGATATTCGCATATTATGTGCAGAAATTTACACACGTTCTAATTAGTCATCACATGCACGGATCGGTGCGGATGTCATGAGCTTAAAAATCAATATTAATGGACGAATCAATGCATTGTTACACCGCTACAGAACGTAATTGGCCAAACATCCCAACTTGGGAAACTTCTCAGAAAATCCCGACTCAGCTGAAACCTTTGCTAAATGAGAAGAGACTTGTTATTGTTAGAGCGTCAATACGTTGTACTGTCGTTCTCTTACACCACTTTTTATTTTAATTCAAATCGAGGATTCTCAAACTCTCAGTCACAGGCCACTTCCTCCTGGAAGCCATCCTTCTGGGAGTACAAAAGTAAATAAATTAACGCCGATCAACAGCGGTGTGTGTGGTTATCACCTGCACAATAAAGTGGATAATCTGTACGTGTTTGTATTTATGCCCAGCCAATCCGAACTGATCAGAAATCGGTTGAAAGCAAGTGAAATAAAGTTAACGTGAATTAAGTCGAAATCATGAATAGAGAAAAAAATCCCAATCATTCAGATAAATTGGCTAATTGCCCCCCCCCCCCCCCCCCCCATTATTGCATGTCCATTGCACCATTTTCAATAGCATGGCGCATGTCATGAGCCCACTTTCAAAATGATACAATGATCAGGCGTGTACCGTTGGGGGGGGGGAGGTGGGGTGTGTTCTGGCTGAAGGGGAATTGTGAATGTCAACGGCTTGCCACAGCTGTGTAATAAACAAGCGAATTGAACCGGTTGCTTGATTCCAGACGGCTGGGCCACGCCAAGGTCAAGAGGTCAGCCTTTATTTAAGAAATGTCGATTTAATAACGGCGCGATGCGGCGACCGTGGCACGTATCGCCTCATGAACGAGAGATGAAAACAACGAAAGTCGCTTTAATCTTTTGCTGTGCAAGCCTACGCTGGATTGCGATTGTGGCCGGGGCTATATTGTGGCATAAGCGCTCTAAGCCTGGTTGCTAAGGGCACTGTAAATAGAAGCCACAGCCATGACAAGGATAGTGAAGATGACGATACATTTTGATGAATGTATGATGATAATGAATAAGACAAAGGATGATGATTATAAGGCCATGGATGTTTTAACGGCAGTCAATAAGACGATGTAAAATATGTATTTGATGCTGATGATGAAAAAGACAATGAATTATTATTAAAATGATAAGGCAATGGATGATGTTGTCAATAAGACTGACAAGCGAGGATTATGATAAGACAGTGAATGGATCAATTATGATGAACAAGACAATGGATAATGATGATTATAATGCAATGGTTGATCATAATAACGATGGCAAACAAAACAATGGAAGATTATGATGATGATGACGACGACAATGGTAACTAAACACAAGTGCGGTCGTTGTACAAACACAGCACAAAGACAAATATCCCCCACATAATAGACCTTAACAGACTTTTGGGGCAAGTGCTATGAGCGAGCAAATTCAGTACACACACCCCCACTGGGGCATTAAACATGGAAATCCGGCAGCTCTGGTCGCTTTGGTGCCAAGATTCGAGAAACATCGCCACCGCTGTCAACAGGACATGCGGGGAACGCCAAGGTGCGCACCGGGGAGGCAGGAAGGCCTCCGGCTGATGATTAAGAGGATGGAGCACGGAGTCTGGCGCGATGCTGAACGGCACCGCTAAGTTCCGACGAGACGCACCCAGGGAACAAAAAAAAGGCTCTCCTGTGATTGGACGAAGCACGGAGCATTGGGTTGTGCTGCTCAGAGCCTGCGGAATGGAGCAGCTGGGCTCTGTTCTCCGTGCTCCACTTGACCCAGTTATGTTTTTCAGTTGAGTTTGCTTCGGTTTTCATTTTTTTGGTCAATGAGGTTTTTTTATTGATGATGATTTTACGATTGATGATGATTCTAATTTATGATCACGAATGATGATTGATGATAACGATGGTTTTTGATTGATGGTAATTATTACGATGATGATAACGAGTTATGTATTTAAAAGATGTTAACTGTTCATGATTTTTTACTGATTTATGATTGAAGACTCATATTTAATGATGATAATGATGAATAACGCGAGATAATGTTTGAAGAATGCTGATGATTATGATAATTCATGACTAATGATAATGATTACGATAACGATTAAATATGCCTTCAATGTTTTAGACAGCAACGATAGTAGGGACACGACGGTTACGATCCTTTCGAGGGCTCACTTAACCTTCGCTCTGCTCAGATAAATTCATCGCACAACGCGTCCCACGCAGCACCGACTTCAAGAGCCAAGGGGAGAGAGCCCATTGAGCCCGTCGTCAGCAGCTCGGCACTCGAGTGCTCAGCGGCTACTATGCACGCTCCGACACGGGAATCGTGTCACGGGCTCGATAGCTCCTTGCAAATCCCACCCCCTACCTACCCCCAGTCGTGCTGCCGGGATGCCGCTGCTGCCGCCCCCGCAGCAACGTAATGGCCATCGCACGCTGAACCTACAGACCGACCAGAGGCCGCCGGGTCGATCTTTCCCAGCCGGCGCGGCAGCCGAAACAATGGGACGAGGTTTCGTGAACGCCACCCGCCGAACCCTGTCCACCCAGCTGCGCAAACTGGTGCGTCGCAGTTATGTCGATTGGCGGGTCACGTGTGTGGTGGGGTAACAAGTGTGTGGGTGGTGTAACAAGTGTGATGGTGGGGTAACAAGTGTGATGGTGGGGTAACAAGTGTGATGGTGTAACAAGTGTGTGGGTGGGGTAACAAGTGTGGTGGTGGGGTAACAAGTGTGTGGGTGGTGTAACAAGTGTGTGGTGGGGTAACAAGTGTGTGGTGGGGTAACAAGTGTGATGGTGGGGTAACAAGTGTGTGGGTGGGGTAACAAGTGTGTGGGTGGTGTAACAAGTGTGTGGGTGGGGTAACAAGTGTGTGGTGGGGTAACAAGTGTGATGGTGGTGTAACAAGTGTGATGGTGGGGTAACAAGTGTGTGGGTGGGGTAACAAGTGTGTGGGTGGGGTAACAAGTGTGTGGTGGGGTAACAAGTGTGTGGTGGTGTAACAAGTGTGATGGTGGGGTAACAAGTGTGTGGTGGGGTAACAAGTGTGATGGTGGGGTAACAAGTGTGTGGTGGTGTAACAAGTGTGGTGGTGGGGTAACAAGTGTGTGGGTGGTGTAACAAGTGTGTGATGGTGTAACAAGTGTGATGGTGTAGCAAGTGTGGTGGTGTAACAAGTTTGATGGTGTAGCAAGTGTGATGGTGTAACGAGTGTGTGATGGTGTAACAAGTGTGATGGTGTAACAAGTGTTATGGTGTAACAAGTGTGATGGTGTAACAAGTGTGTGATGGTGTAACAAGTGTGGTTGGATCCCCCACCTCTTCCAAAACGTCAGGCCAGCGTGGAAGAGTAGGCCAGAACTACCCTAGATTTGAAGCTTTCGTGACTGTAAAGATTCATACTCTTTGGTTTTTTCGGTAAAGTCACATAAGTCACATATGTCACATATATGTCACATATATGTCACATATATGTGAGATATATGTGACTTACCGAAAAAACCAAAGAGCAGGAATAGCCTCTTTAAGGGCCTCTCTCGAGTGATGCCTTGTTTGCGGAGGCCCTTCTGTCAGCAGTGTGCTGAGCAAGGAGTTGCGGCGCTGCACCTCTATCGTTTGCTTCGGTCATGCAAAATACAGCGTCGCGGCCGGGACGTGTCACGAGAGAGGAAAAGCACATGGGAACAAGAAAGATGACGAGAGGAAGGGCTAAGAGAGGGGTGGTTCTAAGTGCTGAAGCAGAATGTGGGAGACCGTGGAGTGGACGTGGAGGAGATGGCCCAGGAATGGGTGTAGGAAGAGGAGCAGGAGACTCACGAGTGGGACAAATGCAAGAGAGAAGAAAATGAAGAGTTCCTGCTGGAATAACTGCCATGATGTATTTATATGTTCCCCCGACGGTGACTTTTAGTTGTGGGAAGTCGACCGTGGTTGTTCACAAACAGCATGGCCCCAACTGAGAAACGTGCAATCAACGGCCGTGGAAGGGAATTACCAATGACCTTATGCTCGTCAGAGCATGGAGGCACTTTGAATTCGACTTGTCTTGAAATATAAATGAAGTCGGTTTCAATTTGCTGCTTCCCCCCGCCTCCCCCCCCCCCCCCGGCCAAGTAGCCAGGAGATGCCAGTGCAGCATCTAAGTTCACAAACACATCTGGATGGACCTATAGCTGTTAACCCCTCGTGTGCGTGTGGGGGTTTTCTCCGGTTACGCCAGTCCTCTCGCGTGTTACGCCCCAACGTTTGAATCAAGTTGGGATTGGTGAAATGCTCTCAATTGGAGGACTCCCCCAACACCCCTCCTGAAACGGAGCCTCCGACAGCCTCGTTGGGAGGCTGTCACGTTGTTCATGGAGGACTTGGAGAAATGATTTTTTTTTTTTACCTGTGGGAAACCTGTGTGTCGCGCAGATTCGACATGGTCTCCTCCAGGTCCTGCTTCAGATCGTTGATGTCCTTGACGTTTCTTTCCCACTCGGTCTCCACGCTGTCCCCTGCAGAGAGAGAGACATCGGGTCCGGTGAATCGGTCCTCATGATATCTGCCGAGCGAGAGCCGAGTGAGCGAAGCAAAGTGGCCCTCCCTTGCGAGGGAGACCTTGCAGCGGTGGGAGAACAGTTACGTGAACAAGTCCCGCACCGACGATGAGTGCGGTTGGCTATGTATGGTGCTAAAGAAGTTCAACATACATACGTGTCCACTGCTGGACAAAAGTCTCCCCCATGCTGTGTTTTTGTTATTTTATTGGTTACGATTGTTTACCCAGGGAAGCTTCACCGAGTGGAATTGTTGTTTTTTGAGGAGGGTCCCAACTTGGAGACGTTCATCCCGTTCGGTAAATCTTGTTTCTCTTTCATAATTTCCCCAGCATTCCGACGCGGCCCTCGGTGTTTCGGCAGTGGAACAACGCAAATTTTTCCACCGAATAGAAGCTCTATTGCAATTTAGTGTACAAAAAAAGGTGCTATTTTTGTAAAATGGCACGAAAGAACGGAACAATTACGTGGTTTTTCAGAGCGCTCATTGTTAAAACGTAATGATCAGTTTGTGATCTGTGTGACATCACACAAAGGAGAAGAGCATCACGTGCCCCGGATATAGTTTACGGACGTAATCAAGCAACGGCCTTCGGTGCTCATGAGACACCTACGCACCGCTGTGTCCAGGATTGAAATTTCTTCAGCGAATTCGAAGCAACAATAATAAATAGTTCACCAACGATAACCTGCCAACAACCGACGTGTATTAATAATGCAGACGTTGTACTCCGTTTTAATTTAAACGTCATTGAGGCGCGCGTGGTTAAGTGGACCGCGCCCTTCCACCAGTGAACCTGAGCTCAATTCCCGGCCGTGGCTAACATCAGTGGCGAGTGATGTCAGGATCGGTACCGCGACAAAGTCTGGTCAACCGAACCGGCGTAGGGAGGCTCTCGTGCAGCAGAGGGGGGATTGACAAAAAAAGAGCCGTTAATTATTTTTTTGGCACGACTGCGTCACTGCAAATGCAGCGTCGAGATTTTCTGAAGTTAGTTTTAATCCTACACATACACACACATATGTAGAATTAAAATATGGCATCAGTCGAAGATCCCATAGCAAGATTTTATGCACGATGAGTGTTGGTGCACATCGAGGCATTCCAGGGTTCACATATGATATGTATATACTGTACAACACCCTGTATATAGATGTTTTTAGAAATATAGAATAAGTGCAGCCACTAGAAATGTAACAAAGCATCGTACCATCAATTAACATCAATTCTCACAGAGGTGTATAATCACAGTGTTTAAATTCCGCGAATCTATGATTTACCATTACTGCAAACTATATACAAGGGGCATTTTGAAGCCAGTCGAGTAAAGAAACAGTAGACAAAAAAAGTACTAAAAAAATGACAACAGACGAGACGGTGAAAACGAGACGGGGAAAAAAAGCAACATCACTTTTAAAATCGCACCACCACCCAGATTCAAGAAAATTAATCGACACTTTTGGAAGGCGAATCGTCACCGTGCCTTACGACCCCCCCCCCTCACTGATTCATGTAACGAGGCCGCGGGCTTGACCCAGTTTTTCATGAGCCAAGATTTTTCACAGGCCAAGATTATTGCTCTTGAAGTCCGCCTCCTTGCACGTACTGGAAGGAGCCGGAGAGATTGATGCTCGGTCCCCTACACAAAGCCATCTCTGCGCAGAGATCGCTTTGCCAGCCACACACACAGAGACGGGTGGTGGCAGCTAAGGCTGCTTGCTACCTGTCCTGGTTTTATCCCAGGATTGTCCTCTAGTTGCGCATAAATGATAATACACCACTCACAGCAATGCATTTACATGTAATTGTCTTCTCTTCCACTATTGTGGTTTTGTAAGATATTGTTCTTGCCATAATATCCCGCATTTTCAGGCTGTCGGGGTATGTGCTGATAGCAGGCACCTATTAAGGTTGGCACGGCGCAATGAGGAAGTGGTGTGGCTGGAACAACGCCAGACCGCCTTCATCTCCCCAGTGGCAATGTTTACACACCGCACCAGGTACTCATTTGAGGCCGAGTCGACTTCGAAGAGGCCTATGACCTAATTACATATGTCACGGATGTTGGCCGTGAGCGGGAATTGAACTCGGACCACTAGGATCGCAGCGTAGTGTACCAACCACTGCACTGTGTTTGCATGCTTTTGGCAGGGCTGACCACGAGGCACGCACACAAACAGAACCACTCACCGTAGACGCGGTAATACAGCATGCTCTCGATGTCGCTTAACATGGTGAGGATCACGTCCTGGTCCATGCTGGCTATGCCCTCGCGAGCGCACGACTCGGACGACTGCCTCTTGTCCTTCCACTTGCGCTTGCTCTTGCAGGCCAGGATCTCGTCGTCAGACTTGCTGCCCTCTGAATCTCCATACCTGGATGTGGGTCTCGATCCAGCTCCACCATGATGCTGATGCTGATTATGCTGCTGCTGCTGCTGACTCTGATATTGCTGATGCTGCTGATTTTTCTGCTGCTGCTGTTCTCGGAAAGGCCCCCGGTCCTCGAAGCTGCCCATCCCCACCGCCACTGATGCCCTCCCAGACAGCTTCTCGGACTTGCTGCCGCTCCGGCTCAGCGACCTCGTGGACTTCTGCAGTGCGCCGGACACGGAGGCCGCTGCCGCCACCGCCGATGGCCCCGCCGGCGGCGGCGCCTGCTGCCGTCCCACCGCCGCCGTCACCGCCGCCGCGGCCTCCCTCTCCTCCCGGCGCTGGTGGCCCGCCGAGGCCGCCACCGCCTCCTCGCCGCTCCAGTACGGCAGCAGTGACCCGGCGAAGCTCTTCCGCCGCCGCTCCTCGGGCTGCCTCCGTGCGGCCTGCACGGCGGGTCGCGCCGCAATCACGCCGGTCAGGCTGGAGAAGACCGTCAGCTGAGTGGCGGACGCCCTCCGCCAGTTCCTCGCGCCGGCACCACCGGCACCGCCACCGGCCTTGCCGCTCTCGAGCTTGAGCGCGCCGCTCTCGGACTCGGCGCGGACGAAGCGGGCCTTGCTCACGGAGCTCGCGCGCCAGCTCTCCTCGTCGTCCTCCTCCTCGTCGGCGAAGTACCAGCTGCTCGGGTCCTCCCCCAGCATCGTGCCGGCGCCCGGGGCCGAGGCGCCACCGAGCGATCGGTGTCGGCGGTGGCGGTGGCGGTGGTCCGCTCGCTCCGCCGCCACGCCGCCCGGCTGCTTGCTCGCCAGCGCCGCCCGCCGCCCCTCCCGCCTCCGCCCGCGTGCCCGACCGCTGGAATTATCCTCAAATTCCTCGCCGCTGCGGCAAGCAGCATCGCTTAATCCCGCACCGCCCGCGGCATTGTCTTGCGTCCATCCGACCGATGGCAGACGTTCAGTCCGGCGATGCCTTCACCGAGCGCGTGAACGAAGGGAGGTCCATTTCTGGCGTAAAGACTGAAGCGTTCCTTCGCATGCAGCGGCGGTTCCCTTTCGTTTGCCCGCAGCGCTTTTCGCTGTGCCACCTCGCGCCTGCTAGCTTGAGCACAATGCTCTCTCAAGACGCTCCGATGAGCATTGCAGTCCCTCGCCCACCCATCTCTTCGAAGGCCGATTTGCCACTAAGCACGTCGAAAATGGCTGGCTCTTAGCAGCGAGCTCCAATAAGGCTAGAGCGGAGGCAGACGAAGGTTTAAAGGGGTGGGAAGGACGGAAAGAAAATAAAAAAAAATCGCAGGGCTTAAAATGACAAGTAGCCCTCGCGTAGGAATCACCGATGCGGATTCACGAGCGCTGAGAGGCTACATATCCCTAGATTTCAGGAGATGCATCTACAATCGCACGATCGCGCTTATCCTCCCTTAGCACCGCAGCCCTCGTTGGGAATATATTTTTTTGTTCAGCTTATTTATTTACTTATATATTTATTTAAATGACAACAGTGCCTCTGACGGCGGTAGCCATGGCAGTGTAACCCTTGACGCGACGTGCATCGCCGTTTTCCCCGAACGCTTTTCTAAAAATTCTCGGCAGCGGCAAGGGAGCGGCGGCAGCCGATGATAGTGGCCACAGAGGTAGCGGCAGCGGCGGCAGCGGCAGCGGTGGCAGCGATTTCCCCCGGACCTCCGTCAAATCGGAACCCGGCCAGCGACGCCCATCACTCCGGATGAGCTTTGCTCGAGGGCGAGCGAGCACGGCAGCGATGGGGTCACATTCGGAGAACGGCCGAGCGGGCGGCTGCTTTGTATTCACGGGATGCGCTGACCTACTTCGGCGAGCGAGAATGGAGAGCCAAGGCGAGAGAGGATGGAGGCAGGAAAAAAATAAATAAATAAGGGGGAAGGCACGGAATAAGAAAGCCCGACCCGAAGGCTCGAACCCCATTGGACGCCGGTGGCAAGACGAGCCGAGAGGACCAATCTTAGTCGGGGGGGGGGGGGGGGGGGGGGCAGTCGAGATGGAAGAAGACACTGCCCAGATAAATAATTGCATTCGAGCCGTGAGAAGAGAAAAAAAAGAGAGAGAAATCAATACAAATAAATAAATCCCACATAGAAGCGCTTTCTGCATATAAACCACCGCCCCCCCCCCCCCCCGTAGCGAGACGCAGTGGATAGGCTCTTTGTTCGTCGTCACGTGCGTGGCAGAATTTATTTGCCCCGCGTAAAAAGAATAAAAGGAGCCCGTGGCTGGTTTATTTTTGCTCGCCACTAGATCCCAGCCACACAATTCGTGTTCCGCCACCAAAGCAACGCACGTGCCGACACGTGTATTATTATTATTAAATATATAAATAACTGGGCGCAATTTAAACCGTGGCGGATCGGGATTTGCGCTAATATTTTCAAATCGTTTATTCATCATCGGCATAATCGGGAATGTTTTAGACGTGCGTTGGTGCCGCGGGCTTGGAGCACCATTGACGTGCCTGCGTTTGAAGCGTGTGTGCGTGTGGTGGGTTTATGCCTCCGCCTGGCCGTGTATACGAATAATGCTTCATTAAATGCGTGCATCACAAGGCAATTCATGCGGACAAATTCCACACCAACCCCGCACACCCCCACGTCCCCACCGCAGATGGAAGCACAACTGTTGGCCATGATTGGCATGCATGTTAATGGTCCCTTGTACCCGTATGCAAATTGCAGGCGTGATGATCAGCACCCCTGCTTTCTCTAGAGGGCTGCTTTATTAACCCATTGCACATCCAATTTGGTACAATTCACTCTGCAATTCTGCATAAAGGCAAAGATCCCCCTGTACGGCCTTGAGCAGACTTTTGGAGCAAGTGTGTTTAGCGATCTCCTGTTAAGGCCGGCACAGCACACAATGCGGTGGGTGTGGCCGGAGGACATTCCTGGCAACCTTTGCCTGCCCATTACTTAGGTTTACACACTGCACCAGGTATTAAATTAAGACTGCATTGACCTAGGGGAGGCCCAGGACCAGTCAAACATTTGCCATTGTTATAGCCCATAAAATGGGAGTTTAACCCAGATCGCCGGTTTAGTAACGCAGTACATTATAACCACTACACTACCGCTCCCCATAATTCTACACTCATATATATACTGTATATATTTGCACAAACACTATATGAAATGTGTATATGTGCATATCACAGTGATTATAAGCATGCCAAAACGTTACCCAGGAAGTGACGGAGTTGCTGTTTCAATGAACTTGAGCATAAAATAAAAGGACAATAAATTTAATCAAACAAAGTGACACTTTGTGGCAAGTATAATGTGGTGATTCTCTGGATACACTATTCACAGTTGGCTCAGGGGCGTCAAAATGGATAGGGGCATCGCCCCTTTGCTGATTTGAAGAGGGGTATATTAGCTTCGTTTTGAACTTTAGATCACAAAAAATGAGGACCACGAGATATGGCAATAGTTAGCATAGTAAGGCGATCATCCAGCAGCAGATACATACGATGAGCACGGTTGTCTACGTACGGTGTGAAAGAAGTTCAATATACATACACAAATACAGCTGACGGTCATTTGTCAGAGGCAGCACCTTTTGCATAATATTCAGCGTTCGGTGTTGAGACCAAGACAAGCCTAGGAGTGATGAGTTACGCGAAAACGGCGACGATCATAATGATACATTTCACAATCGCCCTCAAAAACGGCTTCTTTAAAAGAAAAGGAAAGGCGTAATTGCAGTGGCATATCTGTTGTGCGTGTAATTTTGACATTCACGTCCGCCCGTTGCCAAGCAATGCACTGGACCAAGCTAATCGGGAAGCACAAGTGGTCCCTGGCTGGGATAATGATAGCGCGCGTTTTGGTTCGTACGGGACGCAGGGGGTCACGCGCGGGTGCGCGGGCACGGCAACGCGCACGGCGAGAGGCACACCACCTACGGTGGCGGAGGATGCGTCGGATCATCCTGTTGTTGCTTGCACCGGATATGACCATTTCACGCGCGCCCGTGCACACAATGCGCGCACACATAAATCCCCTCCCCTCCAACCCCGCGATGAAATGGACTGGTCCCAACAGAAAGACGGCACACTCCATCACGGTCGGAGCACTACGGTGGAGGCTGCCGGAATGTTCCAAATGCGTGAAGTGGGTCAAGACAATGCATTGACGCTTCAATGACTAATGTTCGAATCCTACACCGATGATATGTGATGCATCGAATGATGCGTGGGTGAGAATGGATTAATGATTTTCTATGCAAATTATGTTAATTCAGCACGCGGGAAAGATGGAGTGAATTCAACTGTACAAGAGGCACATATACATAAGGGAGTAGCGATACAAACAAAGGTGGTTAAAAAACTGAGACGCACCGAGTTGATTTTTTTTTATTGCATTGCAACCGTAAATCACGGCAATGTATTAAATCGCTGGGGTGAGCGAAAAGAGAGGGCGAGTTGATATCCACCTGTTCAGCATAAGCCACTGCTGCTGGGGCAGCAAGTTCTGTTAGCGAGCACCCATTAAAGCGATCCCAACCACGACGGTCTACCATGGCGTGTGCCACACCAGGCAGTCATTACGTGCGGAGTCGTGCAAGAGGACGGCCGGACCAGGTCACGCCACCGCTTGCCAGAGAGACAGAGCTGGCATTGGCAGTTGCCAGAGCGACCGTGACGCCACCGCCCTTCACCCCCCCCTGCTCCTCCCCACCACGTGGGAACGCCGCCGTTGGTTGCGGCCGGCTCGGCAAGTCGCGCACACGGAGCGATATTCATCGGGGGCCGGTCCGATGTCAGCCCTCGTCACCGCGAGAGGCGCGGAGAAGATAACTCGAAGGCGCCCTCCTCTCTACCACCAACGCCACCCTCCCCCCTCCCTCCCGCGGCGTCAGTTATCGGCGGAATAACGATTCGCGATCCCAGACGCGATGCAGGACGAGCGCTCTGTACAGGCGAGGAACGCACCGTGCGCCGTGACATCAATAATGCACGCGTGCGACGTGAATGGCTGTACGTGCCCGCTTACAAATGCACACGGGCACGACCATTCATTTTAATATTAATCCAATACTGTTTGTAGATACATGCGAACGTACTATATTAATGTGCACTTCATTATGAACGCAATAAAATAACAATGGTCCACCGGATAGCCACAACCTATCAAGGCCACAATGACACTTGATGGGGCGATGTGGCCAGAACGCATGACCAGCCAGATTCGTAGCGCGGTGCACTGACCACCGTGGTATCTACAACACATACACATCAACAGCCACCATTCGCAACCAAGCGATGGGATGATGATGTTGGTGTTGTGTCCCAGGCTAGGTGTACTTTGAGGCCACGCAAAGTGTCGAAGGCTTTCTGGCAGTCAGCCACAGGACAGAGCCAGGTGTTATGGATTTGCTGTGATGACTGCCATATGCACCACCTGTGCTGTCAAATGTGCCAACATACAAACATACACAACAGCAACAACCGCCATTCGGCATGAAGTAGCAGTGACATCACCATGGCACTTGTGCCAGGCTATGTGCACTTTGAGGCCACGTGAAGTGTCGAAGGCTCGCTGGCAGGAGTTCAGGGGACAAACCCAGGTGCCATGGGTTGACTGACTGAGATGACTGGCAGATGCACCAGCTGTGCTGCCTCCTGTGCCAACTTGCTGTGTTTTAGCTACTCGGCTTATTGTCGTGAGCATCGCTCCTTTGCCCTCTGCAATTGCTGGAGGGCAGAGGAGCGATACACACACACACACACGCATACACACACACATAGACACGCATTCACGGTTAAGTGGCAGAGCAACGGGATTTAAAATGCAAACGCCCACAACACGGCTCTGTGCGAGCGAGGGAGGCATAGGAAGGGGCGAGGGCTGGGTGGTAGTGGGGGAGTGTGGGAGACAGATTGGGGGGGGGGGGGGGGCACGGAGTCTCCACCCACCGATGAGCTGCTGCTCTCGGGATTTGCGCACAGAGGTGGGGGTCCTCGTCCGCTCCCCTCCTCCACGTGCGGGCCCCGAGCGAGCACCGCGCTCCGTCTGCAGCCTGGAGGGGATGGGAGAGGTGGGGGGGGGAAGAGCCGTGGGGGGGCGTGATGGATGCGGAGGGAGTCACAGAGGGCGTTCGGGCAAAGGGTAGGAAGGAAGAAGGAGAGTTGGGGATGCGAGCGGCACACTCGTGAGAAGGGTGCATGGTATGTACAGTACAACAGAGCTTAGTGGCAAAATCAAATCTGTGAATATTATTTCCCCGCGTAACGGCTCTAAGCGATGTCACGAAGCCAAGGAATATTCATTATTGTTATTCTCCGAGCGTATATTATGGCTGCGTCGCTAATACCGCTACGTGGCGTTATTATTATTTTTCTCACTGGGGCTCTGGTGCAATATTAAAAAAATTCCCTCCACCACCCCCACTGCCCCCAGCCCAGCGTTCGACACAAGGGGTGCGAGCGCAGCAACAATCCCACGATTGTGGCAGTCCGCATTTTTTCGCTGACTGCTGCACCCGACCGTGGCGACACGCCATTGTGCCGGGCTTGCTTTTTTTTTCTTTCCAGAAAGCAGCGCACCCCAGGGCCCCGCCATCGCCGCTTCCAATTTCTCCCCCCCCCCTCCCCCCCTCTCTTTCCCTTCTCCCTCTCCTCTGCGTGAATTTCACGTGCGTTCGCTCGGAAATTAAACAACCGATCTCTTCACGTGTTTGTCCGTCCCCAGCGGCGCCCGGTCACCTGTAGCTGAATGGCGCCACGGTGGCCGTATTCGGGTGCTGCTGCTGCTGCTGCGCGAGCGGCAACTGCACTCCGTTGCTTAGCACGCGGCCCGCTCCCGTTGCCACGGCAACTCCTCCCGCGGCTGCCGCAGCCGCCGTCGCCGCGGCAACCGCCTGGCCTCCAGCGCCCGAGGCGGGCGTCGCGGGCATGGAAACGCGGCCCACGGGGAAGTGGGGGGTGACGCCG